TCCATGGTCAGGGTCAAGGATATACATCAGATAGCAACATGGATTTAGGAGTCTACAACAGATGGGCCCTCGCCCAAGGACATTCCTGTACGGTACTATGTTTTCGGTGTTTTTTCACACCAGGTTCATCAAAGGGTCGTCCTGATTACACATACTGAAGAACTTTTCATGATATTGATGCGTGGAGTTTTACGGATGTAATATGTATGTGTTTTTACGATTTTATCTGTTGCCAGTTTGATAAACTTTGCGTTTGAAAAGAGGGTGTTGAGATCTTCATATGAAGTGAATACTTAAAACGAAAGTTAATTGAGATCATGGTATGAAGTGAATACTTAAAAAAACGAAAGTTAATTATAAATCATACATGATCAATCATATTCTTGTATAAACCCATAATGAGAATGCTTCTTGACAGTTTTTGAATATGTATCTATGCTTACAATTTTTTCTGTTGCTATTTGAGAACTTTGCGTTTTGAAAAGAGGGTGTTGTGAGTTTTCATAGTATGTTTAATACTTAAAAACGAAAGTTAGTTATAATCAAATATAATCAATTATATTCTTGTATAACCCACAATGAAAATGCTTCATATTTTAGGTTTTCTATGGTTACAGTATAAACAAAACCAAGTGGGTTGTTTAGGTTGAGTTTTCTTCCTCTCCTCTGGCAGCAGTCCAGAGAGAGGGGGGGGGGGGGGCTTCACACTAAGGGGAGAAACATTAAGAGGCCAAAGAGAGTTCATGTCCTTTTTACCTCATATGAAAGGATGTCTTATCCCATAACAGCTGTGGAACATGTTGGGACATGTTCAGCCTTGTACATTATGCGCATGCGCGGTTTTCAACTGAATTGGGTGTAAGAGGAGGAGTTTGTTTTTTTGGGTTTAGGATCCAGTTTTTTTAGCATAAAGAGACTGGTTTTTTAAGAGAGCGCGAGAGAGGGGGGGTGACCCCTGGTAGACTCTCTCCGGGTAGGCTGTGTGCTTCAGAGCTGGGTTAATAGCTCTCGGTAAGGTCCTTCTAGACGGGGTAAATATCTCTCGAATTTATTGGTTGTTGGCTGAGTGGAATGATTTGATGAGAGAAAGTGTGTGAACCTTTATAAATACCGCGACCTGTGGGGAAAACATCTGGTCCCCCGAATTTTGCGGATAGGAATGTGTTTTTGAAAGGTTAATCCGCCGTCTGTGTCGGAAAAAGTGTTTGAAAATTATAAATACCGCGACCTGTAAGGACCTTCCTTCGAATTTTGCGGACAGGAATGGGTTTTTGAGTGTTAATCCGCCGTCTGTGTCGGAAAAAGTGTATGAAACTGATGTGAATAAATGGGTGAATGAAAAGTTGAATGCGCTTTTTATTGTCACCGGTCTTTTTACGAGGAAATACCTCTAAATTCTATCGGGAGAATTTTAAAATGTCACAACTGAAATGGGCAGTTGAAATTAAAACATTTTGGTAATAAATGTAAGACTGTGAATTAAAGTTTCATTTGAACATGATCACAGCACGGTTTTTTTGTTAGGATGATTATAATGTTGTAAAGAGAGAAGGTAAAAACCCTGTATTAGTTTGGACCTATTTTTCTTCAAATAAACTGAATCCCACCTGTTGGATTGGGATCCTTTAAAAGACACCTGTGCCCTCCTCTCCTGCGTCAAAGGTAAGATTGCACCCTGCCACACACACTTAGGTAGGAGCACACTCCATTTACTGATATCAAAATCCTTCGGGATCGCTTAAACAGATTAAAAAAGAGTTGTCTGAATTGAAACAGCAGTTAATTGAAACCTTGGTTCTTCGGGAAGTTAATAGAGGTGAGATCTTGCTGACGTTGGTGGATCTGAGCCACGCAGCAAACTTACATAGACTCAATAATCTTCGGAAAGGTCAATTAGGAGGTCAGAATAATTTGCCGGAATAAATTATCAGGACCTCTCAATACTCTAAACAGGTTGCATAGCAACCCTGTCTCCTAAAAATTACGTTCCCACAGAACTAAACTGCATTCTGAATTACGTTTAGCTAGAAACGTATTTACTCCCACGTTACGTTCGTTATGAACGTATCTCAAATACGTTTATTTTCTACATATCTTCTAGAAACATATTTTCTCCTACGTTACGTTTCTTATGAACGTATCTTAAATACGTTTATTTCTACATATCTTTGCCATTTATTGTCTTGCTTATAATAATGATAATAGTCATTTATAAATATCATTTTAGAGCACACATTGAAATCAGTAGGTGAGGCTGTAATCTCGCCAGCTGTTACTCTCATGAGCGAGGCAGAAAATAATAGTTTTAACATACCAAAAAGCTGCTGTGTCGTTTATTGCACCTCAAACATTAACACAAATCCAGAGTTACGTGTTTCTGTACTTCCTCTAAGAAGAAAGGACAGTAACAGAAGAGGCTTGTTTGAGATAAACGAGACCGACGCAGACCTGCGCAATTTCGATCAACGTCTTGCTAGTGCGTTGCATGATGGTTAGACATTTTGTCCGACTTGCTCTGGAGGCTCGCCTACATGAGACGTTGAAATCTCGCGGGACAAAGACGCCCGCAGCCTTGAGAGCGAGGCGCGGCGAGGCGGCGCAGTTCCTTTCCACGGGCTGCGGAAGCGAAATGCTTGATGGGAAACGACTCGCTGGTATCTCGAGCTGAGCGCTCATTGGTGGTTTTTACCCCGTGCTGCTGATGAAGCTCTCCAATTGGCTCGGCAAAAGTTTGTTGTTGTTTAGTGTCAGTTTTACGTCGCCACATCCATTCCCATTTTTCATCATTGTTCCACAATGTTTATCATCATGAAATTAATATCTAGCCTATATATTTTATACTATACTTGCACTGCTTACCGTTTTCATACTTTATATATCTTAGCATATTCATACCCACTGTTCATACTGCTCACAGGCTGATATCTAGTGTATTCATACCCCTCACTGTTTATTCATCATTCAATTCATTCTATATTTTATTCTGTAGATTGTGTACATTACTTTTCACTTTACTGCTTGTTGCACCTGGTTAGAAGCTAAACTGCATTTCGTTGTCTCAGTACCTGTAATATGTGCAATAACAATACAGTTGAATCTAATCTTGAGCAGGAACAAATGTATTTACTTAGTACATATCTGACATTAACGATTAAACACATGTGTGCATTCTTTATAAATGCAAACCGAGTCAAACCGACTCCGGAGGTGGCGGTATGCACCTTCAAGTTGTTTGCAATCCGCCAAAAAACCGAGAGAAGAAGAAGAAGAAGAAGAAGACGAAGCCGACTCCGAGCCGTCCGACTTCAGACGAGCTTTTTGAGACCTCCCCCGGCTGCGATCGGCTATTCTCGTCTACTTTCGAGGCGAGCCGCAACGCGTCTCAAACAAGCCTCTTCTTTTATTGTCGTTTCTTCTTAGAGGAAGTACAGAAACACGTAACTCTGGATTTGTTTTAATCTTTGAGGTCAATAAACGACACAGCAGCTTTTTGGCATGTTAAAACTATTATTTTCTGCCTCGCTCATGAGAGTAACAGCTGGCGAAATTACAGCCTCGCCTACTGATTTTAATTTAACCATATATCGAGCCCGATTCTCGATTTCAAATGTGTGCTCTAAAATTGATATTGATATACTTTATTAATCCCCGTGGGGAAATTGTTTCTCTGCATTTGACCCATCCTAGTGTTAGGAGCAGTGTGCTGCCATTTTGAACGGCGCCCGGGGAGCAGTGTGGGGAACGGTGCCTTGCTCAGGGACACCTCGGTACACCTCGGTAGCACTTGGTCTTGCCGGGACTTGAACTGGTGACCTTCCAGTTGCCAAGCCAAGTCCCTATCGACTTCGCCACCACCGCCCAAAAAATTATATTTATAAATGACTATTATCATTATTATAAGCAAGACAATAAATGGCAAAGATATGTAGAAAATAAACGTATTTAAGATACGTTCATAAGAAACGTAACGTGGGAGAAAATATGTTTCTAGAAGATATGTAGAAAATAAACGTATTTGAGATACGTTCATAACGAACGTAACGTGGGAGTAAATATGTTTCTAGCTAAACGTAATTGAAAATGCAGTTTAGTTATGTGGGAACGTCATTTTTAGGAGACAGGGTTGTGCATAGCGACACTTATTGTTTAGGTGTCTTTTAATAAGCAGGTAGTCCTATCATTAGCTAGAACTAGCAAGATCTGATCGATATGGACATAAACGCGAGTGAAGTCTAATCTGACGGGAGATCAGCTGGAAACTCTGGTTGTTATGTCTGAACAATTTCCACTGCTTAATGTTTCAAATTTGAATCAAGATAGGCAGAGCAATTTCAATTAAGCATTGTTCACATTAACCCCCACCCCATAATGATTTATAGTACTCCTTAAGCTTTTCTATGGGTCAGGAGGAGACATAATGCAAAAGCAACCAATAGAAAAAGCTCAGTGCATCAATATGATATGATGGGCTGTGATAATAGGCAAACAAGTTCCGAGCGCAACCCCGAAGGGTCCCCCTTTGTCAGTTATTTAAGTTAATACATTTTGGAATTCCAACATTTCTTCTGTAAAGTTATAAACCACTGGTTAAGCTTATTAAATAAGCTCCTTAGTGACGTGACCACCGGGCTCAGGAATGTTTCATCCAACCAGAACTGCAACGCTCCCTCTGAGAAACCAGGGACACATCCAATGAGCGTGAAATTGGAACATTTCAAATGGCAAAGTATTTGGTTTCTCCCAGAATGTTTCTTAGTACCAATATTTGTCAGCAGCATTTGACAAAAAGAAAAATGAAAATGAATGATTCAAGGATAGCTACTTTTGAAAGCAGGTTTTTCAAAACGACAACAAAACAAAATGTGGACAAATGTAAAATGTACATACAAATAACTGCACACATCTTTATTAGATCAGTGGAATACGTGGAAACAGATGGCGATATCGCTACAAAAGAGCAAATCCACCACGGTAAAATAGAAAAACCACCTGAACACTACCTGAGCATGTGGTCCACCTCGGACTGCTCGCAGGGGTTCGTGCCCTTCAGCATGGTGCTCAGAGGCTCATTGATCCACTGAGCAGCAGTCCTCACGTCAGCAGCCCTCTGCTGGTCCAGGAGAGCCTCCTTGGGCCCAGAGAGGCTGGAGACAGCAGCTGAGGACATGCTCTGAACACCAACAAGGACAAAGGTCTTTAAAAACAAGACAACAAGCTACTTTTCACAAACATGTCACACTTGATATTGATGACATGGATAGGGGGGGGGGGGGGGGGGGGGTGAATATGGGTTAATATCTTGTATCGCCTTCTCATCTCTCGTCTTCCGCAACATCCTCTTCCCAGCACACCCTTGTTTTCACTGACCACTTGCACTGCTTTTTGCTGTCATTACACATTAGTGCTAATGGTGCAGACTGACAATAGCCCCCCCCCATCATGACCCTGGAGCACAGCTGTGTGTCTTAATAAAAACAAACATTTATTAAGTCAGCTTAAATGGACAGAAAAGATTGTGGATGTGTTTGGGTTGCGCTGGATTGGCCTCCGAAATGAGTGAACTAATTTTTGTATTCATATTTTCATTTCCTGACACTCAGGTCTTCCAAAATAAAGCTTAATTGAAAATTATAATCATTGACAAAAGCCTAATTTGATCTTCATGTGATTTACATAATATACCTCACATTTCTGCAGCTATCAATACAAAACTTCCAAGTTTCTAGTGGCTCAGCAATTTATTTCCTACTCACAAGACTCAATAGAAAACATACTTATTACGCCAATGAAATAAAAGCCCTACATTAGTTTCCTGTATGGCTTACACTAGGTGTTAAGGTTTTGATGATCACTTTTAGGGATACATAGGATTTCCTGTTAACAAAATATGAGCCCGAATTCAGCCTGAAATCCTCTGGTAGTCTTTGTTAGCAGTGGTAATAGCAGTGTGGGGGGCGGTGGGCTTTGCAGGTAAACACCTGTATAATCTACCGCTGAATGCAGGCACATTTCTTACATAAACCTCACCTTTGACAACATTATTTGAGAATAGCTTTCTCTTAAATTGTTTTGTGTTTTTGTGTTGTTATAAATCTTAATCTTTGTTTGGTATTTGAATAGATTATCCAACACATAGGATTTACGAACAGTGTCTTTGGACAGATGGTGTCCTATGCTTTGCAAATGGTAAACCCCCTTAAGGCAACATTGTGATTTGTAGCTTTAGGCTATGTAAGTAAAGTTACAAGGAAAAGACTTGACTTAGTTATTATAATTATCATAATATATCATTGCACGGAGGAACTGGCCCCCTCCTTCTGACAATGGTGTGATAGCACTCAGTAATACTGTTGAGTAAAAGCATTGATGCATCCCTATTGGCTCAGCCCTGGTTGTGTGTCCTCAGCTTGACCTCGGTTCATCGTGTCACATCTCATCTTTCTGGCTTTTGTGATACAGTAAAAACTGAAATGGCAAGGGTCAAAGGTCAGGGTCGGTTTTCTGATTGGTATCGTCTTTGCTCGCTTCTTGCCTCCAGCTGCCTCTTCACATCGGAGCCTTCTGCATGTTTGAGAGGCCCCTCACTGTCACTTCAAACCATTAGCACACCACTAATGAATCCCATCTCCTTTGTTAAACCTTTATTTGTTCAATCTTTACGCTCGATGCATTCACTGAACTGAATATGTAAATCTGCAATATCAGTCCAAGCAGGAAGTTATATTTTAACATCTGATGTGAGGAAATAATATATAGCTGGTTCTGATTATATAATTAAAGGCCAAAAGTACTCATAAGTTTTACCTTTTCTTTGTTGCAGACAATGCAGAAGACCTCTGCCTCAATGGAGAGTTGTCCTCTTGCATCATAAACCTCCTTTCCCCTCAGCCGGCTGATCCTCGGGGCTGCACACAGCTTTTGAAAGTAGTCTGCCTAAAGTGACAGTTAATGGTATAAGAAATTAGAAAATGACTCAATTCAAAGTATTAATATTTAAAATAACATGAACATTAAACAATAACAACAAAATATACTGTTTGTAGAAAACCAAACTCAAAACCATTTTCCTGCATGGGTTGCATTTTGAAGAGAACAAATTAAAACATAGTTTGACAAAGTCACAAATAAAGGAATCTTTGATAGGAGGTCAAATTCATTATAAAAGTAATTTATTTTTCAATGTTGTTATCAAGCTAATAATGTGAACAAATCAACAGGAAATGCCAACACTTCATGTGTGATGTTAAAAGGTATTTTTCATAAAGTCATACAGCTTTTTGACTCAATTAAGACCTGAAAATCTCATGACATAAACTTTGGGGAGTGAAGAACAGTTTCTTCTGACCAATTTGCTCTGAAGGATGATATGTGTGTAGGTTTTTAATGTAACCTACTGTAGCACTACACCAGCTGATTCAATATTTATTTTATCATGTTTACCCCTAACACCTCCGTCTTGCCCTCCCCACCTTGGCATGTCCTTTGATTGGTTTTAGATCCAGCATCTTGCTACCCTACCCATACAACAAGGTACAAAGGTAATGAAGCAGCATGAAGTTCACATTAGGAATCATTGTCCAAGGAACACAAAGAGACTGCTATCAGGAATGAGTTTTAATGTCAAATGTATTAATGCCTGACATTTTTGGCCAGTGCCCCTGCAACACTGGACTGAGCTTGGACCCCCTGTGGCCACATCGGAAATAGGAGTCTCTGTTAATACCGTTTGTAGTGGTTTTGCAGTTAATATTGTGCTGTTAGTTGAGCCAAAGTTGTGCTTAGTGCAGTACAGTTACCTCAGGGTAGCCACTGGCCAAATTGGGGCACTTAGCGAAATGTTGTCATGAGACCGGGGCCATTTCACTAATTCCCCCTCCTCGACTCCTCGACTCCTCGGTCCTCCGGTAGTGACACGGAAATGGATTTCAGCGTGCCATGTTGAAGGACATCTCATTTCTCTAAATGCACTTTGAGGACCGAGGATCGAGCATCGAGGAGGCTCTCTGGAGGAGCTATAACCGAGGATACACTGATGGTTCCTCCGCAGATGTATTTCCGGCAACAGTGCCGTTAAAAGAGTCGTGACGCACGGCCGGACTTATCTCAGCCAATGACAGCTCTGCATGCATCCCCTGGATATTATTGTAGTAACTGCTTTCATCGCAACGCGATGTTTACAATGAGAACATCTGTGAGGTCCGTGCAGAAAGCAGAGCAGTGTGTATAATATATATCACTCAGTATAACAGGCCTACATTACTCTCTGTATTTGCTTTAGTTTAGTCGATATCTACAAACAAAGAGTCGATATTTGTCTAAAACCATTTAGTGCTTCACATAATAAAATACACAACGGCTGTAGCCTGATATATTATATGCTTTGGGAGCTGTAGGTGTGTGTGTGTGTGTGTGTGTGTGGTACAGTGTGTAGGTGTGTGTGGTACAGTGTGTAGGTGCGTGTGGTACAGTGTGTAGGTGCGTGTGGTACAGTGTGTAGGTGCGTGTGGTACAGTGTGTAGGTGCGTGTGGTACAGTGTGTATGTGTGTGTGTGTGTGTGTGTGTGTGTGTGTGTGTGTGTGTGTGGTACAGTGTGTAGGTGCGTGTGGTACAGTGTGTAGGTGCGTGTGGTACAGTGTGTAGGTGCGTGTGGTACAGTGTGTAGGTGTATGTGGTACAGTGTGTAGGTGCGTGTGGTAGCAGTGTGTAGGTGCGTGTGGTACAGTGTGTAGGTGTGTGTGGTACAGTGTGTAGGTGTGTGTGTGTGGTACAGTGTGTAGGGTGCGTGTGGTACAGTGTGTAGGTGCGTGTGTGTGGTACAGTGTGTAGGTGTGTGTGGTACAGTGTGTAGGTGTGTGTGGTACAGTGTGTGTGTGTGTGGTACAGTGTGTAGGTGCGTGTGGTACAGTGTGTAGGTGCGTGTGGTACAGTGTGTAGGTGTGTGTGTGGTACAGTGTGTAGGTGCGTGTGGTACAGTGTGTAGGTGCGTGTGGTACAGTGTGTAGGTGTGTGTGTGTGGTACAGTGTGTAGGTGTGTGTGGTACAGTGTGTAGGTGTGTGTGTGTGGTACAGTGTGTAGGTGCGTGTGGTACAGTGTGTAGGTGTGTGTGTGTGGTACAGTGTGTAGGTGTGTGTGGTACAGTGTGTAGGTGTGTGTGTGTGTGTGTGGTACAGTGTGTAGGTGTGTGTGGTACAGTGTGTAGGGTGTGTGTGTGTGTGTGTGGTACAGTGTGTAAGTGCGTGTGGTACAGTGTGTAGGTGCGTGTGGTACAGTGTGTAGGTGTGTGTGTGTGTGTGTGGTACAGTGTGTAGGTGCGTGTGGTACAGTGTGTAGGTGCGTGTGGTACAGTGTGTAGGTGTGTGTGTGTGGTACAGTGTGTAGGTGTGTGTGTGTGGGTACAGTGTGTAGGTGTGTGTGTGTGGTACAGTGTGTAGGTGTGTGTGGTACAGTGTGTAGGTGCGTGTGGTACAGTGTGTAGGTGCGTGTGGTACAGTGTGTAGGTGCGTGTGGTACAGTGTGTAGGTGCGTGTGGTACAGTGTGTAGGTGTGTGTGTGTGGTACAGTGTGTAGGTGTGTGTGGTACAGTGTGTAGGTGTGTGTGGTACAGTGTGTGTGTGTGTGTGTGGTACAGTGTGTAGGTGCGTGTGGTACAGTGTGTAGGTGTGTGCGTGTGGTACAGTGTGTAGGTGTGTGTGTGGTACAGTGTGTAGGTGCGTGTGGTACAGTGTGTAGGTGCGTGTGGTACAGTGTGTAGGTGTGTGTGGTACAGTGTGTGTGTGTGTGTGTGGTACAGTGTGTAGGTGCGTGTGGTACAGTGTGTAGGTGTGTGCGTGTGGTACAGTGTGTAGGTGTGTGTGTGGTACAGTGTGTAGGTGCGTGTGGTGCAGTGTGTAGGTGTGTGTGTGGTACAGTGTGTAGGTGTGTGTGTGGGTACAGTGTGTAGGTGCGTGTGGTACAGTGTGTAGGTGCGTGTGGTACAGTGTGTAGGTGTGTGTGTGGTACAGTGTGTAGGTGCGTGTGGTACAGTGTGTAGGTGTGTGTGGTACAGTGTGTAGGTGTGTGTGGTACAGTGTGTAGGTGTGTGTGTGTGGTACAGTGTGTAGGTGCGTGTGGTACAGTGTGTAGGTGTGTGTGTGTGGTACAGTGTGTAGGTGTGTGTGGTACAGTGTGTAGGTGCGTGTGGTACAGTGTGTAGGTGTGTGTGTGTGTGTGGTACAGTGTGTAGGTGCGTGTGGTACAGTGTGTAGGTGCGTGTGGTACAGTGTGTAGGTGCGTGTGGTACAGTGTGTAGGTGTGTGTGGTACAGTGTGTAGGTGCGTGTGGTACAGTGTGTAGGTGCGTGTGGTACAGTGTGTAGGTGTGTGTGTGTGGTACAGTGTGTAGGTGTGTGTGGTACAGTGTGTAGGTGTGTGTGTGTGGTACAGTGTGTAGGTGCGTGTGGTACAGTGTGTAGGTGTGTGTGTGTGGTACAGTGTGTAGGTGTGTGTGGTACAGTGTGTAGGTGCGTGTGGTACAGTGTGTAGGTGTGTGTGTGTGGTACAGTGTGTAGGTGCGTGTGGTACAGTGTGTAGGTGCGTGTGGTACAGTGTGTAGGTGCGTGTGGTACAGTGTGTAGGTGCGTGTGGTACAGTGTGTAGGTGCGTGTGGTACAGTGTGTAGGTGCGTGTGGTACAGTGTGTAGGTGCGTGTGGTACAGTTGTAGGTGCGTGTGGTAGCAGTGTGTAGGTGCGTGTGGTACAGTGTGTAGGTGCGTGTGGTACAGTGTGTAGGTGCGTGTGGTACAGTGTGTAGGATGCGTGTGGTACAGTGTGTAGGTGCGTGTGGTACAGTGTGTAGGTGCGTGTGGTACAGTGTGTGTATGTAGGCCCGTCACGATAATTAAGTTTGTTGGACGATACATTTTCCCGGAAATGATTGCGATAAACGATAATATTGTCGGCACCGTTGTAAGACCACTTTAGACCACTGACATAATGATAATAATTCAAGTACATCCTTTCAAACTGAACTTTTTATTGAACATTCAACATTGCAAATGAATGTGAAATAATATTCAAATATATAAATGATATGTAATAAATAAAACAAATGAATTAAATTATAATAAATTAATTAAATCACACACAACCAAAACAATCAATTAAATAGACTCAGGCTGGAAAACAGAGCTCTCTCTATCTATCTATCTATTTATATATATATATATATACACACATTGTCTCACAAGCAAAAAAAAACCTCCTTAAAACAACACTCAAGTGTACAGTCTACTGTCCATACAAAGACCCAGATGCCTCAACAGGCCATATCCAAATCTGTATTTCAAAGTTTTCGAGCAAGGAACACCAACATGTTTGCATTGTCAAATGCATCTTTGATTGTAAACTGTCGGGAAGGTGGGGGCTCTCGAGCTGCTGTGTTTGCTCCCAGCTGGGAAAACGGAATGGGGTGGTTGTGTTTTAGGTGTAGTTTAAGATTTGTGGTTTTGCCTGCTTTTGTCGCTGATTTTTTTAAACAACTGCGACATACCGGCTCATTCAAATCCGTAGGTTGGCCTCTTTCATTTGGCTTGAATCCAAAATACTGCCACATCGGAGATGTGTAGTTTTTTTGTAACCAATTCCATTTAAATTCCCCTCCAGTAAGTCACACGTTGTCTCCCGTTTGTCGCTATATTATTAATTTGGATGCTACACTGCTGCACGTGCATGCGGAGTGTGGGGCCGTTTCTCAATATCGAGGATTCTGGCTTCCAAGCCAATATTTCAAGGATGCTACGTCATCGAGTGCCGCCGAAGGACTGTTCCAATCTCCAGCATACTTGGAATTCCACCGAGGCCGCGTCCTTGGTTTGGGGGAAATTTCGAGGCTGCACATGGGTAGACTTCGCGTCCTTAAAATCCCCACAATGCTTTGCGCACGGACCAATTTAAA